AAACAGAGCAGTGTTAATTTAAAGGATATCATTATATGATACAATGACATTAATAATTTCTAATAACATTATGTAACGTAATATGGCTTATCATTCAAGTACATTTATATAATAGTTTCTTCAATACAATATGTCTTTGAAGCTTTGGGGTGATATCTACAAAATAATCTGACCTAAAACTATAAAAAGCAATACTAATATGTCCAAACAAATGATATTGTATTCAAACACAGCACTTTTAAATGATGAGATTTATTTAACTTAGTAGAAGCTTCAGGCAATAAAATAAATTATTTCAAAACCACATCGGGTTAGTACTCCAAACCTCAATAGTAACGTTTATAACAATACAGAATGAGGCCGCACTTTTGATAATCTGATACAAATGTAATAATTGTTTTGCCTAAAGCACCTAAATGGCACTGTCAGCCAAAAGTCATACCGACATGACAACGAATGTAACAAATTGTCATAGCACAAAACATATAAGGATATTTTTAAAACAGTAACTAAGATGGTATAGAGCTAGGACGATATAATGATTTGATTTAGAAACAATGATTGTGTTCCCGTTGTCAAAACATAATGGATGATAAAAAATATGTATTATTACATTTCCGTCTACGATGCAATTGGTTATGACTTAATTCAAGGGGAATGGAAGCTAGACAATGAGTTTGATACCTTCTCAGCCCTTGATAAAAATTGGATACACTTTGTAAAAACTTGCTAATATACTAAATACATAAATCTGGTTTTATACCATTGGCATTTATTTCAAAAAACTAGATTGTGTTTTAGGAATACTATAATAATTACGAAAATACTTGAAATAATCATTTGAAACTTGTTTATTTAAAATTCAATGTTGTTATATCAAATAGTTCCGTTTCATAAAAGTGATCTTATTACCCCCATTATTTAATTTACTTAGTCGATTCTTTTTTTGATACTGGTGAACATTTTTAATAAGCAACCTTGTGTATTTTAGACTTATTCATGTTAATAGTGATTCTTTTTAGTATATTATATATCTTAAAGATTGACAATGTACACTGATTATTGAATTTTATATGTTTATAAACAGTGTACATTAATGAGACACTTAAATATAATAAACATATTGTACGAGTGCAATCGTAATAATGATATATGGGTAAGACTGTAAAATTTTAACAATATAATTAATTTCGCAGCTTCTCTGAAATTGTTTGTTTGTTTGGATTTTTACGGAACGTCAACACATAACTGGCCATATCGTGCCAAATGCTATAATAGGCTTAAAATGTTATGTAATGTTTGTAAATGACAATAAAAATGAGTCAATTAGATTCTAGAGTACAAGTTTATCTCTTTCAAATAATGATGGAATTGTATTAAAGAGTTCTATTACGGGCCTGTGAACACTCATGACATTCAAGAAGAAAATGTTTGACATTACAAGCTACACAGAAAGGTTCATTAGATAAGAGAGAGTAATTTTAGTGTGACAAATTCGGCATCGAAGAAGAACTGTTTGATCATGGCGGTTTGACAGAGATAGAGATGGTGACACATCAAGAGAAGGGTTTATATTATCGTTAAGTTTATTAAAAACGGCATTGTCCCAATTTGCTTTCCATTCAGATGATATGAGTTTGTTTATAGCCGGTCTAAAATCACAAGCAGGTAACAATAAGTCAGATTGTTGAAAGTTTAATGATTGTTTAGCGAAAGCATCTACTTTTTCATTTCCTCGTATACCTACATGACTTGGAATCCAATATAATTTAACATATTTTGTTTTAAGTATTCTCTGAGTTTCTTTAATGCTTACCAGCATGGACTTTAGAATCATTTAATAGATCGTATTTTTATTAAATGCATGTATTGCAAATAAAAATATACTATACATGGTAAAAGATATAGCTCTTATTTACGCAGTTTGCGATTGTCTTTTATGTCAAATGCTTGCATTATTGATATCGCCTACGTTTAAAAGTTTTAACAATTATGTTTGATAAATACCTTTTTATTCTTTTTAGCGTAAATATATCATAAAGAGCATTTTAGATTGAATTGTAGAATGATTGATAAGAAAAAAGTAATGTACATAATAGATATTCACATTTGTATTTTAGCAAAGATTAAGCCGAGTCGTTTAGCGGTTGCTTTCAACAAGGAACATTTACATTTTATTAACTAAGTTGATATAATGATAACCTTTCTATATTTTTTTATATAAATGCACCTGCTCACCAGTTTTGCTGATACCTCCTCAATCACGGGTCTTTTAATTTATTGCTGTTTACTGTTTTGAAGTACGTTATGTCTGTGCATTAATGTTTATTATATTCATTTTAATTCATGAGATTTAAAATAATTCTAAAAGGGTCAATTCAATTGAATAAATGTTTGACATGCATTTACAATGATCGTAACGGATGGATAAATTGCGTGTGTTTTTCTTTAATTATTTTTAAATGAAATTTTATTATTTACAATAAAATGGGAATTGTTTGACATCAACCTAAATTCAAAACGTCATAATACATAATTATTGTTGAAACGGTACTCAAAAAAGTCAACAAAGGATTAATGTAGTTTATTGCGCAGAACATTTACATACGTTGTAAAAAATAACATTCCTAAAATATCTTATAGTGGCTCATACAGTGAAACTTCCGATTTTCAATATGTTTTAACCGACGAGCAAGGTTAAGTGTCCTTGATACCAACCTTTTTTTGTATTTTGAATTTCAAAACGGTTTATAGCTAGTGGTGGTTCTTATCAAACATATGATTCTACTTTGTTCATAAAGCTTTTATATGTCTTACTTATTTCTCGAAATGATACTGTTTTAGCTCATTGTTATGTAATGCGTTTGTTTCATTGTCATGACCTGGACGACATTTTCAAGTTTCCAATATTTATTTGATGAAACATTAAAAAAAATGTATGAAAATGGAATTGTTAATTATACATCTAAATATGCTATAAATATATATAAAGCTTTTCATGGGTAATCCTTATCATTTTCAAAAATCGACACTTTGCTTTCCTCACCCTTTAAAGGCCCATTATGCCCCAGAAATGATTTTAATTTATTTCTCAAAAGCGTGTTATTTTTGGTGGCCTGTTATAACTTCCAAAACGTTACTCATTGGGCAATTATCTGAACCAACTTCTGCCTCTATTGATTTTAGCAATCAGTATAGTTATAGTGATTTAGTATTTTTTATGGAAGTCAATATACTACTTTGTTTACATGTTACTACTTTAATGACACATAATTTCACATTAGCACTACTTTCTTCAGGGGATAAGCATGTAACATGCTCTAATTCCATTGTTTAAAGGTTATAAAATAATTTCTGTCCTTTCCAAGAAGAAACTATTTATTCGTATCTGAGGTACAATGTGCCTTATAATAATCCAATAAAAACCCATGTTTCACGATTGCATACATGCCGTGAATGCAACTGATACGTGCTCTTTTTTTCTGGTCATCAGTTAAAAGTTGAGGTATCCACTTGGCCGTAACCCTACTTCACTAAAATATGTTTGTTAGTATAGAGACTGACGACGAATACTACATAATTGAGCTCATCCAGTGTAACTTAATATTTCGATAAATACGTGTAAGTCTTGTCCTGTACCTTCATTTTATCAGCAGATTATAAACATAATGTTTTGATAAGATCTAACATTGAGCCAAAGGATTGTTTTATTTATAAATGCCTTATTTACATGGTGAATTAAAAACAAATAATAATACAAACTTTCTCCGTACTTTCAAAGTTTATACTTTTAACCTTTCAAGATTATTGACACCTTTTTCAATGTTACCAATCAAATACTATTTTATTTGTCAACACAACAAAGGAACTTTCGTGATTGGTTCAGGATGAAGCGTCAATTAAATTAATAAAAAAATACTTAAACATAAGTACCATTCATTGATACGCTATTATAGTTCGGCTAATATCATAAATTTTTGTAATACAAAGAGGATCAAACTAGAACTTTTCTACTGGCGTGCCATCTATATTTTGAAATCTTATGCCCGAATATAAATGAACAGGTAAAAGTATCTGTAATGGCTGAAATCCTGACCCAATTCCGATTACTTACTGAAATATAACAAAAAATGAGGATGTTATGAATATGAATTTCCCGTCACGTATAGGAAATAATCGTTATTATGATGCGTCAAATTTTTAAACATAAAGTATCTTCCAGCGTGTCCACAAATTGATAACTGTAAAAGAAGAAGATGCACGTTTTCATGGAACACTAAGTGTCTTGAGTGTTATGACGATAAAATATTCTTCAAGAAAACATTTGGCGACACAAAATGTGAACGTAAGTTATTTTACATATCAACTGAATAAAAATATGTTTAGTATTTGATTATAACAGATACTATCAAATTTGTAAGTGAAAATAAGGTCGCTATGCAAAATATTTCAAAACAGCCTCACTATAAATATGGTTTATTTTCATCTAATGGTTATCTGCTATGCGTACGACATCTTTATCAAAAGGTGAAGATCGTATACAATAAATCTTAGTTCAATGATAAACCAAAAGAAGTAACGTAAGTATATATTTGGTAATGACAAGTCATATGCTCTACTTCTTTCATATAAAGTTGTTTCACAGAGTTTTCCAAGAAATAAGATAAGTTTGCCTTAATTTTGCAGTACTGAACAGTTGTAGAAATAATACCTCGTAATGGATTAAGGCAATCAACTGGTGATCATATACCTGCATTGATATTTTTTTCAATGTAATTTTTAAGAAATAAAAATTAAATTAGTTGCTGTGGCGAATTATTATTGTTTGGTAATTGAAAACTATAATGATATCACATGAATCTACTGTCGTGAAACATTTTGATCCCAAATTTGACAGGGTAAAATATATTGAATTAATAGAAACGTGTGACAAAATCTTGTGCGAGACCTTTAATGAGTATAACTGTTAAAAGGAATGTTTTAATCGAACAGGTTTGTGCTCATGGAACAATCACTACTGTTGGCCTGGAAAATGTGATGAAGATCTGACAAGAGAATGCACTTGCGCGCAAGATTTCAAAATTATACAGAAAAGCGGAGAAACGTCTTGTCAGCCAAAAAATCTACCATCAATTTTAACATGTGGAACGGTTGTAGCGGGCCCGAATATGGAAAAGAAACAGGCTAGAAGCAGCAGAAATATTACGGAATGTCGATATCTTGCTGATATGTATGGTAACTTCCAGCCGTCATCATTCAAATTTGATTTCGCAGCGGAGTATACAGTCAACATTACAGCCTTTTCGAATCCGGATTTTATCAGCGAATCAAAGTTTGGTATAACAGACTTTTCGATAGATATCGTCAAAGTCCTTGTGGATGGTAAGAATTTCCTTGAAATAAGAGTCTGCTATATTATGCTATCTGAGGTATGTTTAGCATATTTAGACATACATGTATATTAAAAAAGATATTACACTATACTTGACAAATATGTATTCCGGATTTTCATTTGTATTATAAACATACAGATTTGTTATGCAAAAAAACATACGTAATGTCATATACTCACTGAGTTCTTCACTGACGGGGAATAGATCGAGACGAGGTGTAAACTGCTGCAAATTGATATCAGCATCAATTAAACAGCAATACTACATGCAGAAACAGCACTAAAAAATGGCTGAATATACGTTCATTTAAAGTTAAAAATATTGATTTAAATACGAAAATAATGCTTCATGTTGAAACTGATCGTTTGAATACTTATTATTTTTAGGAAGGCGTTCTACTGAAAGTCGTATCAATCGTTTAGTGGACAACTCTTCCAGCGTTAATTGTTCTCAAACACATTTTGACTCGTATAATATTACCGTTACCTCGGATAATATTACCTTTACCTCTTCTAACTTTGATCTTCAAGATGGTCAAGCGTAAATATTGTTATTTTGATTTTTAATTGTTCTGATTCAATTACGTTTCTTTTCATTTGTATGTCTTTAAAATGTATAAAGCTGTATTCCTACTGCCTGAATTTTGTTTAACATGTATTTTTGAACAAGAATAATTCAAAAATATCTGTATGAAAGAACTATGTTGGTTTATTTTCTTGACGGGAATTATTTAAAGTAGATTTATTTTTAATAGCCTCTTTTTGTAGATTATGTCTTCAATTCCGCGTAGATGCAGGTGGGTATCTAAAAAGCAAAAATAGAATCACACACAAGATTTCGGATGCAGTACCTTATCGAAAGGTCCAAAACACTCGTCAGCTTTGCTACAAATATGATATCTCGCCTGCAATGCACTGCCAAGAAAAGGGAAATTGCAGTTACGATCCAATTCAATTTAAAAACCGTGTGACCCGATCTGCAGATATCGATATTGATTTTAAGGGTTGGTATGATCCGCTTCCACCTGGCGGAAACTCGATCCAAGCATCTTCTATTGAAAGTTATCAGATAACGGTAAACGAGGTTACTGTATCAACAAACAACATACAGGTTAATTACCTATCAAATGTTTATACAAAGAAGGTTAATTTCAAAGAGAAAAGAATACCGCTGAACCTGACCTCTGAAAAACCTAGATTATACTGCGTTACTTTAGAAGTAAAAGATGTGGCTGATAATGTAAAACAAGCACGACGATTTATCTTGTATGACAATTCGTCTTTTATTGAAACGCGGGACGATAAACCATTTTATTTTACATCAGCTTCGATACAAACCAACTATAAATGGCAGACTCATCATCATGACATATGTCTTAGTTGGAAAGATCATTTTCTCAACCGATTCTATTTCGAAAATCCTTTGCTGAAGCCAATTGCACCAGCACCACATGGATTAGTCACTGGCATTTATGAACAAAACGATGGTAAACTTCCAGTTTCAGGTACTCCAAACGTACATGGAATTATACAGACTATGGTTTCCTGGACTTTAAATGATGGCTCCCCTTCTACAGAGATCAAAGTGCCAAATTTTCAAACCCAGACATTTTGCAAGGACTTAAAAGTGAAAGACGGACAAACGTACACATTCTTCATCCGTTCAATTGATATTGTTTCTAACACATTTATTGAAAACAGGACAGTTCATATTGACAGATCTGTACCGCATATAAACAATGCTTGGCTCGTTAAAGATGGGAACAAAGTCCTGTTAGTTGACACTATGACAGATGTTTCAAAGCTGTATTTGCAGTTTGAAGCGCTAGATCCACACAGTGGCGTTAGACAAATAGAGTGGGCATTTGGTAATACCACCACAGAACTAACTTCAGGTTCTCTGAGTGTAGGATCTCTGAGAGAAGTAAGCAGAAATATAACTATGATAGCTAATTTAAATAATTTAGGAAATAAAAAAAGACTTACGTCTTATAATGTATTCATATCAAAGGAAGATATAGTTTCGTTTAATGCTACTAAAACTAGTTCGTTAACTACTGTTTTCATATAGACATATAAAAACGTTTTTTCTTTCGATTCATTAAAGTTTTAATAATATTTATTATATATATAATAATAAAATTCATTTTAAGTTTAAAGATTTCTAAACAGACAGCGGCGGCTTACTACTTTTATGCTAAAATTGTTACTGTTACCATCATTCCTGATCTTTAAAGAGAAACACATTCTTTAACATCATTTCAAGTAATAATTGGTGATGTCTAGATTAAAAATATATAATGGTGTTCAAAAGAGTCATCATATTCTGTAAAATTCTTGATTTCAGTTTATTGTCATAACTTTCAATTCTATCTTAACAATATAATGACGAATCACGAGACAAAAATAAAAAAAAAATGTAACAGTTAAAAAATAAGTCCAAAGTACTAGGTTTCATATTCAAGTAATGAAATCAAGTCAAGTTTTGTAAAATTTAATCATCTATCTTTATTAATTAATAACGAATAAGATCAAATAATGTTTTTACATTTTGTCAATTTTTAAGCCTGTAAATTAACAGAAATTCTAGAGTGCATCCCAAGTCGATAATCTTTTTTATTTACAGAACTCTTGCCCACAAAATGCGGAAAGTTGCTATTGTCCAGATGTCGGACAATGTGAGATTTTTAACTACACTATACCACTTAACAAGCTTATTTTGATAAATAAATATGTGGACAATCACAACAGAAATTACAATTTCACTTTGAAAGTCACCAACAACGCATATTTGTTTAACATAGAGCGTGTGGATGTTTTCGTCAATAATTCCCAACCAGTGCTTGGCGTTAACTTTGAGGGTAAAGGTCTTCACAATTTTATTCAGCGCAAATTACCGTTATATTGTTAATGCATACCTAATCGCCAATGATTTACAAAGGTCCCGCTTTCTCGACATGATAAAATTTCTTATAGTGATTTTTACTCACCTGGGAAAAGTTGGCGGCTTATACTAAACTATTTCTCAACACTTGATTTTTTTCTTTGATAACGGATCATTTAGGCATACATTGAGCCAAGCATTTGTCTCCATATAATCGGGAGAATGGAATAACCAGTGGGAGATTCAACTTTGATTGTCTCTGTGCAATTTAAAGACCAGTTTGCCTTTGCTGTCTGCAAAATCATCAAGGGTTTAGCCCGGGTTTTGAAAAGCTCAATGAAATTGACATTGAGCTGCCTCGGGTGAGATTTGGTCACCGAACCGAGCCTCTAGATTTTGCGTATAAAGGAGAATACGATTGCAATTGACCACTTTTATGTAAGATTACATGATGATCTGAAGTTTTCCCCTCTCACGTCCAGCAAAATGCATCCTGTTTATCCCCATTACGCTACTGGCACCTTTTAGCATACCTGAAAAACTTAAAAATGAAAGCCTCCCAGCTGCCATTGTCATCAAATGTTGAATTCCTAGGCATTGTATCTAGTGATACTTTTTACCTGGCTGTTACAGGATAAACCGTTTCCCATCTCCCATGAGATAATGGCTTCCACTCATCATCACTCCATAGGGTCCCATGTTCTCTCCGTACGGACTGCATAAACCTAACAGGTCTACCTACTCTAGGCCCAAGTACTGAAATGCTTTTCACCCCAGCTGCTGACCATCTGGCCATATCAGCCTTTACTGCCCAGGCTTTGATTCCAAAAATTCTGAAAATGACTCATCCAAAGACTTAAATGACTTATCCAAGGACCATTTCCCTTCCAAATCTTTATTTATCTAATTCCTCACCCGTAAACTTTATACGACATATTGCAGGCGATATGTTCAACGTGATATTTCAGCCTCCCTTATAGATAGGAGAATAGCAGCAAAACTCTTACTTACCGCTGGAACTTTAACCAACTTCTCCCGAGAAGAAAATTGTTTGCAACCTTTGATGTATAGTTATGGGGCCTGTACTGTCTGACCTATCCATAGCCAGTGCCATTTTCATGATTTTTTATCACGATATACTATGGTTAAATATCAAATAATTAAAAATATCAGACAATTACAGGATGTGCAAAGTACCAATGACCCCCGTAACTGAAAACCAATTAACGAAATAGAATTTATTAAATTACACACCTACACAATATCATAATTAATTTCGTGACTGACAGTAACTGCAATAAGCAATATTATAAGAATATCACTCTTTTAAATTATGCAATATAAAATATATCTCATGTCTTTTTGCCTTACCTGAAAAAGCAATACTGACTAAAAAAATCCCCTGCAACTTTCCTTCAAATTTTCTTTAGGTTTTGTGGACAATTAAAAATTAAAATAAGCAGAATTACGTGAATGTCACTCTAACAAAAATTCCTCCTCATTATCCTTCAACAATTGCTAGGTTTAAAGATAATAAAAGAATACGATGCCGGTATCAAATGTCCTCAATGACATTCACAATTGTACAAAGACCTTATGTGGGTCTGACGGCTGGTAGCGTCATAAAAATGCAGGCCGCAGCTACAAACAAATCGCCGCTGTCACCATTATAGTAACTCTATAACGCTTTTATAACAAACTAAAATAGATGTTCAAGTTCATTGGTTACTTTGACACACGGATGCAATCAGCTAAATTAATCTGAACAGCCTTTACTTATCCACTCAACAAAAAACTAGGATGTCAACTGACAGGGAATACTGGAACCTCCAATTTCACCAGGTCAAACACAAGTATAGTTTGGTTAGGCAATATTCACTTCATAGATATTCAAGACGTTTGGATACCGGTGTCAATTGCAAGTTTTTTGCTCGATAAAGCATATCATGTAAAATAGGGTATATCTTTATTGGAATGCCTAAGCTGATTATACGATACTTATGATCCTATGTCAGATCTTTGAGTGGTTGTAAATGAGTATTGGGACAAGATTTAAACCTATATTCTTGGCTCGGTTTCAATAAAAAAAAACAATATAAGCTTAGAAATAGATCGTTTTTTCAAGCACAGGTTAAAAGCTTAAGCCCAAACATAATGCATATTTATTCTTTGAATGTAAACATGAAGATATAGAAATGAAAATTTAATCTGAAGAACTTTCATCTTGAATATTTTCTACGACTGAAAACAATTGTTTATTTAAAGCTTTTAGGTTAAAATACGTATCGCCTGATTTAACAAGAACATTGACAAGACAAGTAACTTATCTGGTTTCAACATGGTAGTTCTTAGTTGAATATATTGGTCCGAACAAATCATAGATATTATGATGAGATTTTCAAATGGTCTTCATCTACAAGTTATTATTTAAAGATATACCCAATGTTCGTTACTTGTCAATTAGTATAACTGATGTTTCATCGCTGCTACAGGTTGTTAGTCACATATGATATTTTGACAGAATAACTGCTAATTGCAAATATCAATCTTATTAGTTAGTGTGGTGTTATTGACAAATTATTTAATTTTTGTGTATTTTTTTCTTAAAATCTAATCGAAAGTCCGATAACATTATGTTTTAGAAACCCCTTCTGCGGTTTGAAGAAATTTAAAAAACTAACTTAATCAAATAAATCAATTAATTGGACCCAAGTCAAGTAGCAATTCAAAGGAAATATAAAAGTAAATGTTTTGGCTTAAGATTCCTAAAATTCAAAAAAGGGCAGTAATCGTTACAAAAAAGTGATTATAAACCCTTTATAGGTAAACTTCTTTCAGCTGATGGAAATCAAATTTGGACAAAGTTAAATTTTTCAAACTATGTGTTTTAATGTTTAATTCTACTTAAGCCTTATAGTGTTTGGCACGGTATGACCAGTAACTGCCCGTGCCGCTGTTAAACTTAAGTAATAAAAAATGAATAAATAAATAAACTAACCCCACCCCTTCCCCTTCGGCCGATGAAATCAGAAAGTGTACATTGAAAGGCGTCGTCTGTCGGTCTGCATTCAGTTAGTACTGATCCGTATTTTAGAATCAGAATCTTTAATTTTGGCAGACAAGTTAACATGAAGGAAGAGTGTAATGATCAGTATCTGTCTTAAATTCGTCCAGGGGCTTTGTTATATTAATGTAATTTTTATAGCAGCTTGGCTCTGTTCAATACTTTTTTCTTTTGTTCTTGAAAATGTATTGAAAATGAACTGAAAATGTGATCAAAGAAAGTAATTAATACATTCCAGACTGCACTAACAATCCAAGTAAATTACCAAAACCAGATGTCAAAATAGGCAAAAATAACCCTAAATGGGTTAGTCACGCTGTAGTAATATAGTGTCAAATACTGCCAAATCAGTCATTAATAGCACACAGCGTGAAACTTCTTAATTGATTCTTGAATTTTTTACTTGAATCTTAGAACATTATTCTCATGTTTTATTTTTATAATATATTTGCTTAACAAGAGGCATGTAACTTTAAATGATAATTGGCATTTAAGAGTACAATGTATTTTACAAATGCTACATATTTTGAACTGAAACTTAGTGAGAATGTATAATTATATAAGTAAACAAACGTGCTTCTGCAATAGTATTTAGACTTTAGTATGTATAGTTGAGATTTGGCATTTTATTTCTTAAAAAGATATGTTTAAGGAAAATTACTATTTTGAGCAATATTTTACCAGTGCTTGAACCGAGTTTTATTAAACCTAACAATGAATAGTAACCAAAGTTTACTATTAGTTATTGTTAAAACCTAAACGTACATTGGTAATTTATTGCGCCATATTTACTGATAAGACTTAATTTCCATTTTTGAACAAAATTATACAGGTGATTATTTAACTTGTAAAATCTCTGCATTAATGAACCTCATATTACGGAAATGATTCTAAGCTTGGTCTATCAAAATCCTAGGTAAGTAAATAAATCTTACGATCACTTTTCATCAAAGTGATTTTTGATATTAATCAAAATAATGCCCTTTATGATTTTTAAGTAACGAATTGTTTCAAGAAAGAATCTATCCAGAGTAAGTTGTTGTACAGTTGTGTTTTTATTAATTCAAATTTATATGAATGTATTGTATTGATTACAAGACATTGTGAATCTTGAATGATATAATAATGTACAGATTGTTGTGTTTTAATTATGATCGC